CTTTTCTCAAAGCATATGGTGTTCCACACCCCACTTCTGTTTAAAGGGGCACGAGTAATTTTTTCCATAATAATGAATGGGCATTTGATAGCATTTTTTGTGCTACTGATTTTGTATTCTCCAAAACACTAACTCCCTTATCCATATGTATTCTTCAAAATCAATGGGTCTGGAGGGAGAGGTGTAAGGAGGAACATCTGCACATAGAAAGCGTAAACATAAAACCTTAACAGCAGTTTCACTGAAAAGAATAACTTCAGTTGTTTAAAACCATTTCCAGGCTGATGCATCTCCTTTAAATTCTACATGTCTGTATCATAGTGAAATTTAGAGTCAATATATCTTTCAAAATGATAATGAAGATTTATTATGCATTTGAAACAGAGGAGAATATTTACACAAGATTCTATTATCTCTCATACTGATTAAAGCAACTTCCTTTTCTGGTACCTGCATGAAATACTTGTAGCGTTTAACATCAGCCCTTCCAGCATAAGCCAGTGCCCCAATGTTATTCCATTATTTCCCTGCCTCTGGTTAAATCTTTTCACTAGTGGTTCCATGCCAAATACAAGATGTGTTATTCCTGCTTTTAAGATGTGGTCACCTTCACACTTCTTACCCCATCTAGCTTTATAAGTGATAGCATCCTCAATGGCTCAGTTAACTCCCACTGTTCCTAATGCTTTTCTTTTGACTGCACTGCCTGAAATGCTTTGTCTCCAAAGCCTCTTCAGGTTATTCACTTCCATAAACGGTAATAAACACAAGTTAAATTAAACCTCTGCAATTATTTGCAATCCATTCAATCTTCTAAGTCTGCTGTTCAGACTTACAATTGTAGCCCACTCATTTAGCAGTGCTGCACGCTATCTGGTGTCTGCTCAGTGTCAAGCACATGAATATCTATTGTGAAAAACCTCAGAGCAGCTTTTGCAAAAGAAAACCTTCCCCAGCCTGTTTTCCAAGAGCACAGAACGAAAAGCAAAACTTACCTATATTTGATTTTAGTATGAGAAGGAAGATCTCTGCTGGAATATTGTTTGGATAGCTGACTTAAGTCTCCTTCTCCTTTTCCTCGTCCTCCTCTTGCAGGTTCAAACGTTGGCCTTGCTGCTGTGGTCATTTTAATTACTATAGAATCAAACGCAAAAAAGGGTCATTACTACAGCTTATAATGAAAGCCATTCATTAGAAACTACATTGTTCCTGGAACCGTAGCAGCAATGACAAGTCCCACTACCCAAAACAAGCTATCATTTGGCACACGATTGACAGAACCTATTCAGTTTTTCAAAACTGAAAAACTTTTCCAACATGTCTGAAAGTTGAAGCACAGGGAGAATCTGAGGCTTTGTTTTAGAAGTAAATAAAACAGGTCATGAGTTATTCTCTCCCATCCTCCAGGCAAATGGTACAGCACAGGCTGCAGCTACGTAACTTAACTCTTTCTTCTCCCCAGAAATGACAGCCTCATTCATACTGCCTACTGGAAATAGTCCCTCCGTTATCACCCAAACTGTATCCAGCTATCATCACTGCAAGTACTGGTTGACATGGACCACAGTATGTCCAGAATGGTGTTGACAATTAAATTAGGATGGTCACATATCCTGAATGCACTAGCCCTTCTCCTGGCCCTATTTAGGGCAGGCACAGCACTGACATCAACAACGCAGCACAGTTTTTTGGAACTGACTTATGCAGAGCTCCAGGTGACCAGGAAAAAAAAGTTTTTGTTTTAAGTGTGACAGGGTTAATGTTCCTCCGGTAGCAGAAGCCTGACAACTTTACTGTTACATTACAAAAAAAAAAAAAAAAAAAAAAAAGTATTCTAGCTCAGGCAAAGAAGGAAGTTTTCAGCAGCTCTCATTTAGAAACCCACATATCACCAGCACGTCCCTAAAAATGAAAAAACTGAGGCCAAGAATCGCTACTGTAAATTCTCCTGTGGCAAAGGAGTGAAAGAGACTCAAATCAGCCTCTACCACACAAAGACCCTGTCAGCATGCACTGCGTTCAAAACTGCCAGACAGGAGCTGGACACTGCAATCCCACCCCACTACACCAAAATTTTAAGATGGATAACCAATGCAAAAAAACCCTGGATGATCAAACAGCATCATCTCAAATATGTTATCTGCAACTATCCTCACTTCTGATTCACAAAGACATGCACATCCATTAACCACAGACTAAAGATACCTAAGACACAAGAGAGAGACATGCGCAGAAATACATAAAGGCACCAGCCTACCAAGTGGAAGGTTGGATAGTAAAGGACAACAAGAAATTATTTTAAACAATATTAAATAGAAGAAAAAATAAGATACGCTTTTTTGCTATCACAAACAAGGGTAATTTGTTTATGCTGTACCTGCATTTTTGTTCATTTTTCACTTTTAAAGGGCCAGAAAATGCATCACTTCAGTGACAAAAATGTTTTCTAATTTTAACATGAATAGGAACATACCACCACAGAGAACATTATTACTGCCACTGAACTACTATTCAGGACAAAGTTAACAGACACAAATATCTTTAAAAAGCAGTGAGAAGGTAATACTGACATGGTAACTAGCCTTGGCTCATTGACCAACCACTGCAGACACACATCAGTGACAATGGGCAAGTCACCTGGAGCCCAGCAGGCTCTTTTAGGTCTGGCTCAGTGCAGACTCTACCAGACCCATAATCTGAGAAAGCCATTTGCTCTCAAGTCTTATCTGAACCAATTATCAGTAACAGCAGGGATTTATTAGTTCAGAGGCAGAACCAGATCTAGTCTGGCTGTATACTTTCATGAAACACTAAAAAATATTCTGGAACCTGTCCCTGCTCCCCATTGACTCTTTCTGAGGTCAGACTGAGTTTGGCTTGGCCTTAACAGACCTGAACTCAGGGACCTTTGCACTGCACTCTTAAGTTTCAGAAACTCTTAAGTTTCAGAAATACAGCCTACTGAAAAATCCATTTTAGCACTACATGAGGCCAGGACTGGCCAAGCATGGTTTACTAGCTCACTGCTAAGCCAAGAGAAAGTGGCTGGGCTAACTAAGCCTGGAGCTGAACTGCCCCAGCAGTACAGAACGTGCCCGTACAGCACTATGCCTGCGGCTAACAATCCTGCTGAACCCATCCCCACTACATTCACCACAGAGCCTGAACACGAGCACTGGAACTCATAATAGCCCCCAAACCTGAAATCACAACGTAAGAATCTAAAATTTCAGTATGACCAATGCTGCACCATCACTTTGCTCCCTGCCTCTTACACCGCTCTAACTAGGCTTCTGCTTTTTATTTTAAACTCAAGTGTTTGAGCTGCACAAAGGAAGGTTATGCCAAATAGTACCGAGGCACGCTGCTCAGAGCTGAACACAGAGACCACTGAACAGCCACCCTTTCACTCTGCCCCCAAATCACCCTCCACCCTTCTCCCCGGGCACTCTCCCTCTTTCCCAACCACAGCCATCCCCCAAATCGCCCCCGCTCTTCTCTCCGGGC